ACCATTCAAGTCTTTCTTGACAGCTTGTGTTCTGCTTCTACAAAGTACTTGGTATTTGGTAAGGAATGGGAAGACAGTATCTGTCCTCAATGGTTCAGAGTGTATCAAGAAAGAAGACCCAACCACATTTCAGAGAAAGCCAAGATCTTAAGATGAAAGTTTAGCTGGGCTGCTGGGGGCAGGGAGAGCAACTTCAAGCTGGTAGAAATGGAGGACGAAGAAAATCAAAGCGGGCTGGTGGTGGCACACACCTTTAATCCCAGCACTCGGGAGGCAGGGGCAGGCGGATCTCTGTGAGTTCGAGGTCAGCCTGGTCTACAGAGTGAGTTCTAGGACAGGCACCAAACTACACAGAGAAACCCTGTCTTGAAAAACAAAAACAAAAACAAAACAAAAAAACAACAACAACAAAAAAAGAAAATCAAAGCGGACTACATTGACAAGTTACTCCATGACCGTAAGAATGTTGCATAGCGTGATAAAGGATGCAGAAGAGTAAGTGTTCATCTCTTGCTTCCAGCATGCACTGCGTGGACTTTGACCAAATAGCCTAGCACTAAACAGAATTTGCAAGGTAGGAAGTCTATTTGCATTCCTTCTATCTTTTTCAATACATTTGTTTCAGATGCCAATTTTTTTTTGTAGTAACTCAGCTGTTAACTGTAATTCAATTTTAGAAAACAACAAATGAATTGTATGTGAAGCAAAAAGACAGTTCCTCCCTTTATGTTTTGTTGTTTTTCTTTCTTTCTTTTTTCTTTTCTCAAGACAGGGTTTCTCTGTGTAGCTTTGCGCCTTTCCTAGAACTCACTCTGTAGCCCAGGCTGGCTTCCAACTCACAGAGATTCACCTGCCTCTGCCTCCCGAGTGCTGGGATTAAAGGTGTGCGCCACCCCCACCCAGCTTTTTCTTTTTCTTTTTTAATAATTTTTAAAAAATGTATACAGTGTTCTGCATGCATGTGTCCTTGCAGACCGGAAGAAGACACTAGAACTCACTAGGGATGGTTGTGAGTCACCATGTAGTTGCTGGGAATTGAACCCCAGATCTCTGGAACAGCAGTAGATGCTCCTAACCACTGAGCCATCTCTCCAGCCCCTGTTGCTTTTTTTCAAGACAGGGGTTCTCTGTGTAGACCAGGCTGGCCTCCAACTCAGGGATCCACCTGTGTCTCAGTCCCTCTCTTTATAAAAGCAGTTTGATAAACAGAAATCAAAAGGTAAAGTGAGATAGATCAAGACATCTCCACGGCATCTCTAAACCCTTTGCCTAACTGTGCATGGGCCATGCCGTTTTTTTTTTTTTTTTTTATGAGTCTTAGCAACTTAGCAGTATTTTGAAAACTAAAATTTTAAAAGAGCTATTTGGTTATTGCCTATACCCTTTTGTAAAAAAAAGCATTAGTGGAACGCAGTAATGACTATAAAATCTTATAAAATTTCGGTTGAGTCTTTACATTTAATAAGACTCAGATGGCTGTTAAATTTTTATTATTAAGGGTAAACGTTTTATTTCACAATAGAGCTATCTCCATAAATTCTTAACAACTGACCTTAAAATAATCTTCAGAAATGAACTTAGTTTTGTCTAGAAGTCTACTAATGTGAAATGCTCTATTCCAACGTCTCCGGAAGACTTTCCAGAGTTCAGCTAAACAGCAAGCGCTGTTACCATTTGACATCCCAGCTTCTCCGGAGCTGATCACCAGGGCAATACCAGCTCCGCTTGTGCAGCTGACTCATGCCTTCTGCTGGTGTAAAGCTGGGCACCGACCGCAGCTCTTTCTGCAGGGCAGCTCCTTCCAACTCGAAGGCAGGCAAGTCTGAATTGAACGGCTCACGCAAGAGATGCCACGCCAGCAAAATACAAAAGACTCGAGCTGTACCGTCACTGAGCCTGAGGGGGAGTGAGCTGTTCTACTCAAAAAAAAAGGCAATGAGTAGGAATTTGAAGCAGCTTGAAAGTCAACTTTGAAAGGATGTCAAAGAAGGAGTGACAGACCGAAAAAAAAAAAAAGAGGTTCTATTAACTTTTTTTAAATTTTTCTTATAGACGATGATGTGTTGATTACATCTTTTCTTTCCCTTTTAACCCTCCTTTTTGGTAAAGTCTTTTTTGTTTGTTGGGGGGGGGGTTGGTTTTTTATTTGTTTGTTGGTCTTTTGAGACAGGGTTTCTCTGTATAGCCTTGACTGTTCTGGAACTCACTCTGTAGACCAGGCTGTCTTTGAACTCACAGAGATCCTCCTACCTCTGCCTCCAGAGTGCTGGGATTAAAGGTGTGCGCCACCTCTGGCTGTCTAAGGCTTTTTAAAGTTACACAATGATAGAGAAGTTTCTAAAGAGAAATTAAATAAATTCACTCATAACTCCTCAACTCCAACGCAGTAGCTTACTGTCTTTGAGTATTTCTTTCTAGTTCTTGTACCATATTTATTTGTTTTATGTGGCTTTGCTTTGTTGTATTTTATGGATAGAGCCTTATGTAGCCCAGGCTGGCCTCGAACTAGCAATGTTAACAAGCGTAATTTTAAGCTTCTGATCCCCTTGCCTCTACCTCCAGCCTGCTGGGATTGTAAGTGTGTGTCACCACTCCCACATGTTTACATGTTTTAAAAACACACAAGTTGGGGCTGGATGGCTCAGTGGTTAAGATCACCAACTGCTCTGCCAGAGGACCCGGGTTCAATTCCCAGCACCCACATGGCAGCTCACAACTGTCTGTAACTCTAAGATCTGACACCCTCACACAGACATACATACATGCATACACCAATGCACATAAAATAAAGATAAATAATTGTTAAAAAAAAAAAGTACACAAGTAGATTTATATCACCATCTCCACTGATCATAAACTTCTTCAAGGTCTTCACTCATCAAAAGCATCAGTTTTTAAGAGTCTTGGTCATCTACTTGTTGACTACCTAAAACTCTGCAACCTGTTTCGGGGGGCCTCTTCCACACCTCTCTGCAGTTTCGTTTACAGGCAAGTAATACTTGAGGCTATCAGCTTCTGAAAGGGGAAGGTGTACCGTGTCTTATAGTGCTGAGGATTCAGTCCATGAAATACTGCTTCTCTGCTTTGTTGGCGGCAGTAAGTACACCATTCTGGGAGCCCGTGGGGGAGGAAACCATTTACCTCATAGCCATAACTGAACTGCAAGAAGGGGAAGAAAGGAATCTCACAACTGCCGTTGAGGGCATGGCCATGCAGGGACCACTATGCCTCGCCTACTATGAGCCCCGGGCATGTGTAGTGGTGGTGGTGGAGGGGTGTTTTACCACAGGACATGGGTCTTTGAAAGACCTTGAGATCTAAACTACAGCCCGTGTCTGCCCTAACTGTAGCTGCCTTTGCAGCCATTTCCCCTAGGGACCACTGACTTCCTGTGGAGGGGGGCGGGGCTTCTGTTTTCCTTCTTTCTCCCCAATCACCCACCTTGATTTCACGGTTGCCAAAATGTAACACTGCTTGGAAGGAGTCCAACTGTTCTTATACCAATAGCACACTTAATTTAAACAGTTCAGTGTGTCTTCAAGATGGTAGCCAGGAACTGTTTGTTAACTAGTCAAAAATCTCAACTCATCGCTGTTTTTCTAGCAGTTCAAGAAAAATAAATATTTAAAAACTTCAGCCAGGCGGTGGTGGTGCACACCTTTAATCCCAGCACTCAGGAGGCAGAGGCAGGCGGATCTCTGTGAGTTCAAGGCCAGCCTGGGCTACAGAGTGAGCTCCAGGAAAGGCGCAAAGCTACACAGAGAAACCCTGTCTCGAAAAACAAAAACAAAACCAAAAAAAACTTCAAATATTCTCAAAATGAAAAAGCTTTAAGTGCCCCCCTTAAGACAAAGAGTCCATTTCACTGTATACCTACAAGTACTTATCAAACACTAGTATAAAGCATTATGCACAGAGTTTAAATGATGGCAAAATAACACAGTAGGAAGAAAAGCCAGGGCTTTGGCTTAGAGAACAGTCACACGCCCAGGTGAGGGCAACTGTTAGTTACTTACGATGCCTAGATCTGCTTATGGATCTGGAACTGGGACATCTGTCATCATAGAAGAAAAACAAGCAGGACCAAGACACCGTAGGTGGCAGGTGGATATATTCTAAGCAGATGGCAATCAGCACAGGTCGGAACAGGTGCGAAGTCAAACTGGGGAACATTTGATAGCCGTACATTTGGAACAGATTGCATTTTCACAATGATTTTATGGTTGATTGGTTGTTTGTAATTGTTTTGTTTTGCTTTGATTTAGTTTGATCCCATAAAACTTTCTTGTGTGTCTATGGGATGGGCCACCAATGAAATATAATGACTACGATATAATAAACTGTCACAGGAAAGGTCCTAACTATCTCATCAGATTTGGCACACATTTAACTTGATGTCATTGAAAATAGATTTCCTTCACATAGAAAAAAATTATGCTCCTTTTTCTAGCTTAATGGTACAAATGAAGCAACAGAAAAATAATACAGATGTGTAAATACAAAAGAAAAAAAAATTCCAACTTCTTCCCCTGAAATGAGTTTCAATATCAACACTGTAGATGAGAAGAACTTATGGTCTGTTCTTAGATGGCAATGTGTTGGTATTTGTTTTAGATTATCATTTTTGTTAAGATACTACATTACCCATTTTGGCCTAGAACTCCCTATGTAGGCCAAGCTGGCCTAGGATTTATAGAGCTCTGCTTTTCTCTACCTACAAAGTTCTGCGATCAAAAGTAAATGCTACCAAGTCGGGAATCTACCAAATTTAATAACAACAAAAAAGGACAGGCTGAGTCCAGACACACTGGGATTTTCTAGAGCGCTTTATTTCATGATGAACATTCTTTAAGCTAATGTGGTCGCACCATGTCTTCTACCTTCGTGTCTACAAACTCAGCCATCTTTGCGAAGTCTGCAGCAGCAATGTCCACATCAGGGCTAAGATGCAGACTCCAATTCTGAGGTCAACCTCTCTAACCTTTTGAGGTGTGTTCCAGGTTTCTAATGTCTGTCGACTTTGGTCTCGTGAAAAGTGGACGTATTTCATCACTCTGCAGTGGAGCCAAGAGACTGCCTTCCAGTGGGAGAAGTTTGGGGTACTTGTCTTTCTCGATCTCTTCTTTCATGGTAACAACTTTGCCAAAAGCATTCCTAGCTTATTTCTTCCCTCCACCCCACTTAATCTCCTTTTTTTTTTTTTTCTGGATTAGTTCCCAAAGCAGCTACTCAGGAGCTTCTGCTATGGAATAAAAGCCAAACTGTACTCACGTGACTTGATGCATCAAACTGCAAACCATCTTTTCCCTGAAGAATTATTTGAGGCATGAATCCCTGTGAAGAATTTTACATTTTGAGGGGAGCCTCTTTCGAGTCCAAGTCTATGCTCTGGAGAAATTGATGACTTCTGGAGCTATAGGCAGACTCGTTCTGGGACTGTTGGCAGGGACATCAGTGCCCTGTGAAAGGTGATGTGGAAAGCCATGACTCAGAGTGAGGTCTTCAGTGGCTTTCTTCATCAAAGCAGAAAAACCAGGTGTGTTGCCAAATGCTCCACATGCTCCATCCTCTCAAAGTTTTTTTTGCAAGTGGGGTTTTAACGTGAAGAAGTAACTCTTCCCCACTTCTAATAACTAGGGCCTTTAGAGTACCCAACACACACACACACACACACACACACACACACACACACACACACACACATTTTAAGATAGCTTTTCTCTGTGTAGTTCAGGCCTTGAGTTAACTAGGTATCCAAGCCTGGTATTGAACTTGTATGTGTCCTACCTCAACCTTTAAGTTCCAACACTACAACTATATACCACCAAACCCAAGCATAAAATATTCAAATTTTTTAAAACTCTTCTTTCATAATATTAGCTTTGGTATAAAAATGAGCCACATATTAAAATGAAACAGAATATTGGAAATAATAAACAATCAGAAGTCAAAAAGATTATGTACCATTTGGATATGAGAATAGATATATAACCTCAGAATAGTTATGTGAGCTATTAATATAGCTAACTGGGCAAGCATTACCTACATTATCTCAATTAATCTTTTGATCTTACTGTTTTTTCATTTGGCTTTGGTGTTTTGAAACCTGGGTCTCACACCATAGCCAGATTGTCCTACAACTCACTATCCAGGCTGGCTTCAAAGGCACAGTGATCTTCCTGCCTCGTCCTCCCGAGTGAGTGCTGGGATTTCAAAGATGGGCTGCCACACCAGGCTTCCATTTCATCTTTCTTGTTTTGTTGTTGTTTGTTTGTTTGTTTTTGTTTTTCTAGACAGGGTTTCTCTGTGCAGCCCTGGCTGTCCTGGAACTCACTATGTAGACCAGGCTGGCCTCGAACTCACAGAGATCCTCCTACCTCTGCCTCCCAAAGGCTGGGATTAAAGGCGGGCGCCACCGCTGCCCCGCTTCCAGTTCATCTTTGTAACAGCGCTGTCAGATAGGCGCCATTCCTTTCTTCCTTCTGTAGATGCTGAACTTAAGGCTCAGAAAGATTCATGCACCGGCCCAATGCTACCCAAATGGCAGCTGTTCTGAAATGTGAGCCTACATGTCTTTGACTACCGTGCCTGGGCTCTGAATTACCACAATGCGTGAAAGAATCAGAGATGTGGATGAGAAGCTAAGAATACGAAGAGAAAGCGTGGTTTTCAGCCAAAGAGTAAATATAGAATATTGGGAGGGGCGGAATTAATGGAAAGAGAAATGAACAGAAACGTCTTTTGGGGGAGGTGCCATGTTTCAAAAGAATCCTGTCCCCTTTACCCTAAACCCATATCCCCTCACATCTTGTGATGGGGACTTGGATTCCACTCTGGGGACGTTTATCAGGAATGGTTGTCCCCATTTACAGTCCAAGTCTTTAAAAATTTGCATTATAAATAGATGATTTTTTGTTTTTTAGTGTTCAACAGGCTTGAGCAGTGTGAGACATTTTTTTTTTTTCTGAGACCCAGTCACACCACCTCCTCTTCTGAATTTCTTGTTCTGTTCATCTTTGACTCCTCCCCCCAGCCCAGCCCCGTGCCTGACGGTTAGCGGGCACCCAGGAAGGCATCGGGTGACTGGTTCAAGAAGGAAATGAGATTCTGAAGGCACTCACCAAGTGGAGTGTAAACAGCCGGTAGACTGGAACCATCCAGCAATTTGTGGCGGAAGAAATGTTCAGCTCACTCCAATCCCACCAGGGACTGTTCTCCGTCCGGACGGTCGATTGCACCGTGGGCACCGTGGGCACCGTGGGCACCGTGGGCAAGAGCACGCTGCACTGCCTACATAGCAGCCCTTGGTTTGGAAGGGCACATGCCTGAAGCGTGTGGCCCTCGGCGGTGCTGACTCACCCATCTTTCTGTTCCCCATGCCTCTGGCTGGAGACTTCTTGCAAACGCCCGGTGATGCCCTCGTTTCCTTATCTTCAGAAAGCATATTTTTCCTGCTGCTCTTGATCTTAAAATGTTACACACTTGACTCTCGCCTCTTTTGATCATTTGATGCTGCCTCCAATTTCTACATTTTCCATTAATCCTTTACGGAATGCAAGACAGAAGAGCAGAAATTTCTCTTTTCAGTTGCAAACGACGCCTCCCCCTCCCCACGCTCCCAGCAACACCACCAGGTTAATCTCAAAGACCGATGAGAAAAGTACGCCCCACCATGCTGCATTCTAGCCCTGCCTGAATTGCGCTTTGGTCCTCTGGTTTTTGTTTGTTTGTTTTGTCGATCTCCAATTGTGAGTTGGTTTGGTTAAGGCGACTCCCGTTGGTTTTCTTGGAGGGGGAGGGGGAGGGGGGGCACCTGTTCTTCCCGCAAATGAAAAGCTCTTGCTCTCTCTAAATGAGTGTGAACACTCTGGGAGGGGTTCCTGCTGCGGCTTTGTGTATTCCCGAAACAGCTTCTCCTACTGAGCTTTCTTGCCTCTGGTTTTGGTGACTGGAAGTTAAGTACTGCTGGGCTCAGGTTCTCGGTGTATTAACAGCCATGTTTTCTAACCAGTGCTGGGGCAAGCTCCTGAGTGAGAGAAGAGAGCCTTGAATACCGCCGCCCTCCAAGATAACATTTGCCTTGGGAATAAACTCTAATAATTTTCCTCTCGGTACAAATTGTCTCTCTAAAAAATGTAAAGCCAATCTTGGCTGACAGGCAAGGCAGAGCTATTTAAGTGTTAAACCACATGAAATTCTTCCGGTGAGCACAGCTCTGAATGTCAGAGAGAGCCAGGAATTCATGATCTATTTCCCACTTGGGAGCCAATCTTATATTAAAACATGACATATATTATCTAAGGAATTTGACTGCAATGCAAGCTGGGAACTCTCTTTGAAATCTACCGCAAGGGCCTGAGCCACAATTTCAACTTGAGTATTTGAGGCTCTCTCTCTCTCTCTCTCTTTTTTTTTTTTTTTAAATCCAATCTTGTACTTGGATGAAACTTTTAAATAAAATTGTTTACATCTTAGCTTTAATTGTGCATTAAAATACCCCACCACTTAGTTCTATTTGTCTGTTTTGAAGAATCAAAGGTGCACAGGACTGTTTCACAGAGACTGTCAGAGTGTGGTGTGAGGTCCTAAACAATGACCGTATTTTGCTGTATATTTCAAGTCAAATCATTTCATGTAAACTGGCACGTGTACATGAAGTGTAAGTACATAGTTTTGCTCTTTTCCTGACTTTTTAAAAATTTAATTTTATTATTTGTTTTGAGACAGGGTCTGTCTACATAGCCTGTCCTGGAACTCACTATGTAGATCAGATTGGCCTTGAACTTGCGGAGATCTGCCTGTTAAAGGTGTGTGCCGCCATGCTCAGCTGAAATTGGGTTAAAGACAAACACCTCAGGAGGCTAGGGGGATGGTTCAGTGACTAGTGAGTGAAAACACCGGTCTGGGGCAGGCAGAGCATGTGCCTGAAATCCCCGCCCTTGGGAGCCAATCTTCTATTAAAACGGGATATATGTTATCTGAGGAATTCATGGGGGGGGG